CATGCTCTCTATAAAACACACGCATATGTTGCTCTTGTTTCTGAATGTAAGTAGCACCTTACAAGCAACACTACATGAAATAACCCTGACTTTGATAGGTCAGGTTACGTTGGTTTGTGTAACCTTTTCCAAGATCCCATTTCCTCCACATTTTTCCTCCTGCACTAACACACTGTTTGTGCAGCTGATGACCATCATACTGACTGGGGCTAAACTGAGTTTAAATGAGTATTGAAATAAAAATTATTTCAGCCATCAATTCCTTTCTGAAGGGTTAACTGCTTGCAAGGAAAAGTTAATTATATCCTTTGGGAAGAGTGGAGGATTGATGATGGAGTGCTCTGTGTATGGTATAAATTGATGGGAAAATAATCAGGTGCAGCCGACCAGACGCATATAGCAGGATCTCGAGGAAAGAGGAATAGCAGTATAAGTCTTTAAGAGTCGATTTAGGAAAAAAAAAAAGATGTTGCTTGGAAATAACTGTGCTCTCAAAAATGTAAAGTTGCCTAGGGCAATGTTTTAAGGTAATTATCTGCTCATTATGTCAGCTCGAATGATGAAAAGCAGCCCATCCCCATTTTTAGGCGCTGTTTGCTCAGTTACAGTATAATTCAACTGTTAGTTCAGTCACAGTAAGGAAGACTTATTGACAAATCAATGTGCACTTGAACAAAATCAATCAAAACTAAGGGTTGAACTGTTAAGTTCAGACAACTCAATCTCGAACCCAGTTCTTCATATTGTTTTTCCCGAGCTTACTAGCATAATCACACTATCTTTAAATGCGGATCAAGATTTATTCCATTGTTATGTGAATGTTTAAACTTTTCATATTTTGAGCACTTCATTGGTCATCATATTGCAAGTTTTAGGCTGAGTAGCATTGCTACTCGCGTAAGATAAGGTAGGAAACACAACCTACAGGTTAGTCAAACTTATTTGAAGATTTAAAAATAAAATAATGACCCAAACCATTTGTATAAACATCTATCAGTTTCAGAGCATACTGTATATTCTAAGGACATTAGGCTTGATTGTTTTTTTATATACTTAGGTACCAAAGTTTCTTAACTCTCTCTCTTAGTTTCTCATTGTGTTGAGTGGGTTTTTACAGCAAGAATACACAACTTTTGTATGTGTGTTAATATTATGTCTCAGTGAAAGTCTGCAATGTTTTTTTTCTTCTTTAAAAATGGATGAAAGTTGAAGTAGATATGGGTAGATTTAACATTTGTAATCCCTTTTAATAGCAAAATATTGTGGGCTGTAACTGATGAAGGCGTGTGGTGCAGTGGGTTGTGCGTTGGTGTTAGGATCAGTGGGTCACAGGTTCAAACCCCACTGCAGTCAGCATGTCGTTGTGTCCCTGGGCAAGACACTTCACCCCAAATTGCTCCTGTGGGGATTGCCCACAGTATTGAGTATGTAAGTCGCTTTGGATAAAAGCGTCTAACAAGTGTCATGTAATGTAATGAATTATCAGTGTTTTCATTGGCTTTCAGTCATTATTGGCCTTTATCTTTTTGCCAATTTCTTAATCAAACCAAAACAAATAAGGTTGTGACAAACTGTATCAATCAAAAGTCGATTCTAAAGCAGTCTTCTGACATCACCTTACAGGGTTTTATGGCTTGAAAATACCAACATATTATGTTCCCTCTGCATCCATTTGAGGCAAGTTGATGGTCATTAAAAGCTGCGAAGTTAACTGGTAGCCTTTTAACTCTTTTTATGAATCAATTGCACCTTTTTGAGTAAAATCTAACATAATTAGAAGTCATTCAGCAACACCTTCAAAGTGCTGTTAGTGGTGGATGTCTGAACAGGTGGCTCATGTTTTCTTTGTGGCTGGGCATCACAGACTGTGTGCGTGGGGCAGGCTGAGAATGAGACTCCCTGCTGGGGGCCGCAGCCTCTGCTCCTGCAGACATGCTTTCTTGAAGAGCAGAGGTCGAGGAGAGATTGCAGCACCATGTGCCGACAGTCAGCAGGCCTCACTAATGATGGTGGCCTCCGTCTGCTACAGGGGTAAATGATATGTAATGTCATTTGCCAAAGTTATGTTTTTCAGCTTGCCATGGTTGAATGAATGGAAGCTAATGGCTACAGACCATGTTTTTTAAAGACCATTATCATCACAAAGATTTCCGTTATGATATTTCAAGCTAGTTTCAAGTTTCAGCAAGTTTTAACCTACTGTTGTGAAATGAATAAAGCTTGTTTTTTCTAGAAGAGAGAAAGAACATCCAAAAACTAAATTACAGGAGTAAAAGAAGGATGATAGATGTGCTTAACTAACCTTAATACTGGTTATCCTAGATGAAGGCTAATAGGTGGATACAAAGAGTAGAAACAGATTAACACAATCTGTATCATCATTATAGTGGTATACAAGTAGTTTGTTATTATTTCTTTCAATACAGTCTATGCAACAATACTATATGAAATGAAATAGGCATGTCTATCTAAAATACACATAGACATATTTTATATGATTCTTCGTACTGATGTGCTACCATCACTGGAGCATGTGCACATGTTTATTCCATGTCACTTATATGCACCTTGACTGTGTGATTTTCGCAGCTAATGCCAATGTTTTGGGCCAGCTTTAATGTACTGCATATATCATAGTACTTTAATTGTTCTTATCTTAACACCTTATAAATATCTTATAAGTGAAGTTGTTAATCAGCACCATAGGGCGAACTCAACTGAGTTTTTGTTATGCTGAAATTAAAGTTTTTTAATCTCATTCTGGTTCTGAATTTAATATAGTTCCTGATTCCATACTGCACACAAAATATGATTAATTGTTTTATTTATTTTTGGACAATCATAACTTGTGAAGAGTAAAACAAATTAATTAGGGTGAAAAAAAAACTTGTTGATAAAACAGAGGTTTGAGTTGGCCTCCACCATGGCGGAAGTTCAAAAGTTAAGAGGTCTCCAGTTTGTTTTGGGTAAGTTTTGTGTCCTTTGTTCACAAGTTTTTACAAGTATCTTTGGCTCCTTAGCGGTGGCAGGTGGTCCTTCCTGTGAAGCAGACGCAGTTCACTGAGCAGGTTAGTCATGAATAAATGTGTTTTTGGAGAGGTGCGTTCCAGGTCACTCCTCAGTGCCCCTCTGAGCTGCTGTCTCCTGCCCCGCTGCCCTGCCAGGTCTCCACCACCGTCCCATCACACCCAACCATTAGACAGCCTTTCAAGCCAAGAGGAGACCCTGGTTGGCGGAGGGTGGCGGGGTTCAGGCTCCAGCAGCGATCAACCAGCCGCTACTGCCCGTAGAAGGAGCTAAGCCTTCACCGGGGTTTTAATCTTGAGTTTTTGGCTTGCTGGAGATGCTGTGTACAGGAGGCGGGGGGGGGGGGGGGGGGGTGTTCATGAATGCAGAGACACAATCAGGAGAGGGGTTTAAAAGGCTGCAGTGGAGTTTAACTTGAGTCCCAGCCAATCTTGATAAGTCACACAGGATTGAGGGTTGCACACCACCAGTGCTTGCTTGCAGGAAATGTGTTAGTGAATCCTGTGAGGTCTCACTGTGCTCTGGGCCAACAGATAGTCTATCATTTAAAGGGACAGTGACTTCTGAGGGAAGGGGACTGAGGTCAGATATTATCTTACTGAACACACTCCTTTAAATATCACAAAAATGAAGCCTTTATTTATAATTTTTACCACAAAAACAGGAAAATGTATAAGGATGGGGAAAGCAAAAGAAAATACATGTTAACATTGACACCTATCTATAAGGACTTTTCAAACATTAGTAGAGTGTTGACACATGCCTGAACACACATAGGTAGAGAAATTATCCTAATATCACCATGTATATATATGTTGCATATTTATCAGAAATTATGTATTTTGTAATATTTGGCAGCAAAATAAATGTTTAAAAGTTTAAAAGGATAGTATATAGATACACACAATACAATGGTAAAATGGCAAAAAAGGATTACACCATCCAATTCAGGCCAGGGGGGAACCATAGACCGGGGGTAACCAAGCCCCTTTCTGACTTCCTGCTTGCCCTGCTCAAACCACGCCCATTTATTGACTCCGCCCTTTTTGGGATCTAAACTACACACACCTGTTTCGCCAGAATCAGAATACCTTTATTAGTCCCACAGAGGGGAAATTTGCAATTTCGTGACTGCATCTTTCCTCTTGTGGTGAAACAGACATAAACAGACACCTGGCGAATTATTCATAACTTCCTCTGCGGCACTCCCTGCTACAGAAGGTGTCTTCACATTTTGCCATGACGACACACACACATACACACAACACACACACACACACACACACACACACACACACACACACACACACACACACACACACACACACACACACACACACACACACACAAGGGTAAAGAAACACCAGCGTTAGCACTAGTAATCTTAAAACTAGATCAGAAAGCTTTGTTATATAAGTTAATTTTGTGATCACATACTATTGCTAAGAAATGTTTGCATGATGAATTTACTGCCAATTAAAACTTGTGTAGTTGGATAGGCCTTGAGTTGCCCAATGTTGCCAACTTTTTCCAGCCCTTCCTCCAAAGCCACTCCCCCCCAAAATATCAATCAGAACGTAAACATAGCATTATGAAAAAAATTATCACATTGCTTTTTGGATACACAGCTACCATGCTGGTGCGTAAAAGTCCAGGAAGTGGATAATGTTCTCTTTTTTCTAATGTGTATCTTCATGTCCACTGGCTTGTGTTGACTATTTATTTTTTCAATGAAAGCGATCGTGTGATGGAGAAGGGAATATGACACTGCAGGCTACACACACACACACACACGCACACGCACACACACACACACACACACACACACACACACACACACACACACACACACACACACACACACACACACACACACACACACACACACACACATCTGGAGCGTCAGTCGACCCACACCTGTCCCGCAGCTCGGCTCGGCTCCTGACAGCAGTCCGTCCCGCAGGAGCCGCGGCGCGCTGCTCCGTCTCTTTGAGTGTGTGCCTGACATGTCTCCAGCCATGAGGAGCCCCGGAGCCCGGGTTGCGCCACTATGGCCCGGGGTCTAGCCGAGGAGGCAGCACTGAGGTCCGCAGAGAACGGCTGTGTGTGGATTATTGTTGTTAATATTATTCTAGCCGCGGGACGCCAGCAGGAGCTCTACAAACTCCTCCATGATCGGGAGGGCGAGCAAACTCGGCAAAGGTAAGAGTGAGGAACAGAGCCACAGGCAGACCTGAGATCAGGCTCTGAAGCGCATCAACTCCTATCCAAGGCACATTTTGTAATATATGCTATATAAATGCACAAATTAAAACGGTGTATACATAAATGACAATGCACTACATTTTAAAATTGTGGCATGACATATATTTAATTTTGATTGAACAATATTTACCTTTTTAGATTTTAAACACATGTAACTAAAAAGTAAAGCCTCATTTATAAATTGTAAGGAATAGGATCAAATATGGCAAAAAAAAAGAAGAAGAATGCACACAGTGAATGGTGAGATATTGAGTCATTCTGTTGATACAGCTTCAATATAAACTCTTATACAGTAAACTCCTTATAAACTGGTAGCGTTATCTACATCTCCTCATCAGATTGTTATACTATTGAAAAAAAGAAAATTGAAAGAGATTGAGTTTACCTAATTCAAGTCTTTTTATAAACAGGTAACAATTCTCTTCAATAAAACGTTTTTTTTTAAGATAGTTGTACAGTTTTATTTCGGAAGGTCATCATCTGCCATGGCAGCCTCCTTATCCTGGGTTACATCAACTGCACTTACATTTCATGTATACACAAATATGTTCATTTATAAAATGCCTTATTATAACATTGATTTTTGTTGATCACTGAATTAGTACTTGTGGAAGGATATTGTATTTAGAAATTAAGGATTTTTTCAAACTAAAGTCACATAATCCTGCCTAGCCTGTTTAATTCCCATTTTCCTGCATTTTTTTCCTTTCCTTACAATGAAGAAAACACTGTGGTTTACCCAGTAATTTCTAAAATGGTAGCTTTAACTGTTTCTCATTATAACATTCTTCATTTTGTGAGAGAATGTAGATAACAACTCTGCCTCATGTTAAGAGAGATGTGTTATGAGATGGAAGTGGACAGCATTACACACTAAGACTTGTTAGACTGTGTTCAGCTCAGCTTCGGTGACTTGCTTCCCAGTCCAAGTGGCTATTTTAGGAACATCGCTGTAATGTGTTAAGGCAATATTTAACAGCTCTCTGTAGCTTTTGTTTGCAGATCAGAATCTATTTGATTCTAAACTCTATCTTTATCTATATTTAAGAATATTAGATGTGGGAGGAATTTGACATACACTTGATAAGACCCCATATGTTGTAACATTGAATCTAAAGTCTTGGTGTAATGTAGGAAAGCTTTTCTGGAAAATGCAGCTGACAGCTATCTGTGTTTTTAATTTAGTTTTACTTTTATGTATGCACCATGACATCAAGTGAAATTCCTCGTACGTGTCAACCTACCTGGTAATAAACCTGTTTCTGATTCTTATTTCTGATTCTGACAGCTCTGAGCTTTCACCTTTTAGTTTATTGTTTTGGTATTATAAAAGGCAAACTTATTTGATGGTTTATGCATTATCATTATTATTGAAGCCCCTGACCACAGCTGCTTTTATCTGTGACAAATCCACTGTAGCCTACTTCACCTGCACAACACCAAACAGCAGTTTAGAGGCTGTCTGATCTGGTGAATGTTGCAGTAACAATTGGCCAGTGGACAAACTATTTATTTTCTCAGCTCATTGTCCAATACGCATTTCCCCAGTAAATATAGCTATAACTATTTTTGAACTGCCTCTTTTCAAAGAACCTGAGTCCAGTTACCCCTTCCACGTGTGCACTCAAATACCACCCAGAGGGGCAAAGAGAATTTCAAGGGCAGGAAAATACCAAACTAACATAGCGCTAATACATAATAGGGCCAATAGGTTGCTCTGCTAAATTGGCCAGCTGTTAGCTACAGTGAGCATTTGTTGTCTTCCAAAGATAACGTTCCAAAAGCGCTTACACGAAAGTGATACTGGTTTCAAACCATCAAGTCAGATTTGTGTGAAGGTCCTCTAAATAGGACATATGTGATATTTTTCACACAACAGGAAAGCCCAATACTTATTTTCTTTTGGGTAAGTTTGTCTTAACACGAAGACCAATACAGGAAGTTAATGCTATCAACATGTACTGTAATGGCGCATTTCCACTGCAGGGCCTCGCACGGCTTAGTACGGTATAGTTAGGCCTTGGTAGGCCAGGCTCACTTAATGCTGTGTTTCCATTACAATTTAGGAACTGGGGTGGAGCCGTGACGTCATCTTCAATGCGAAACACAAAACCAACATCAGCCGTTAGCTGTTAGCACTCAGAGCTCACAGCTCCTCATATCTGTTCAGAAACTAGACAAAAGTTAAACAAGTACAAACCACAGACTGTCTGTGTCATGGTGAATACAGTCGCTGGTTTATTTATGTCTGTAGGCCGTTGTTGTGAGTGTGGACGGTCGGAGCATATACTGCGTTAGCTTAGCCGATCTCCATTCAGAAAACACGCATTTTAAAAGGTTTTTCGCCTGCCGTCTTGTCTGCAGAGTTGTCAAAGCATTAATTCATGGTTTTTACTAACCGGTATCAGTATGTTGTTACTTCGGCATCATTTTGAAACGTGTATTACAATTAAATCACGGTAAAATATGTTCATTTTGTTGTAGTTGCCAGCTATTCTCTCACTAGTTTAGCATACTCAGCCCGGTTGTTGGCCCGGAAAGAACCTCGATTTTGGAGAGCCAGAAAACTGTGAAAAAGTACCCGCTAGCTAAACTACGCCTAGTGGAAACGCAACCAAAAACGGGCCGGGCACGGCACGGCATGCTTAAACCGCGCTCCGCGCTGTAGTGGAAATGCGCCATAAGTGTGTTTTTGTAGCAATAAAACCATTTCCCAGCTCTATGGGGCAACTATAGGAGAAAATCTGTTGTTTCTGGAAACCACCCTGATGGCATTAGTGAAACATCACGGTCAAATGGCTGTGTGTCATCACGGCTTAGCTAAAGGTAGCTAATGTTTGGAATGAAGATGTTTACGAGAGTAATGGGCTGTTAGCAGCTACTGGCAGAGTAGCATTATACTGTTTTATTAGAAAATGTGCTAATGATCAGGCTCAGAAACACTTTGTGCTTGTAAGCATTTGGCTGCTTTTAGAGTCAGACCTTAAAAGTCAAATAAAAGGAGACACTGAGAGTAAAATACTAGGAAGGGTTTTTCTCGTAGAAAACAATCTCAGCTAAACTTGAGTGGTTTACCAGGTTTTTCCAGAATGTTCTTGTTTTATTGACATGTGTTGTGGCAGGTGAGTTTGAGTCTTTACTAAGATAATTTAGGAAATTAGTAGCTAGTGGTCCATATTTGTCTCATGGCAGGCTGTTCTTGATTTTTCCAGACCTGGCAAGTTGGCTGCCCCTTAGGACTGTGGAAGATTTATTAGGCCTAAATGAAAATAAATCAATCAAATATGATGAAGAACACAATACACATACTGTACTTATGTTATTTATTCAATCACTGTGACATATGTCTTCCAAAAAGTATGTTCCGTTACAAATAAATTGCATTGTTACCTACGTGTGGAAGGAAACATATTTTGTCCTGATGTTCCCCCGTGTAAAAATCAAACAGCCCAGGCTTTGATTTTAATTCTGCATGAAAAATTGATTCAAAACAATTCATTCACTAACAAAGATCAAAATAGTTTTCCTTTTAACATATGTTTATCATATAGTTATGACATAGTATAGTTAATGCATACATACAAAGACAAATCATATTGCACTGTGTATTATATTTCACTTAATGTCTTCTGTTTTCCTGTAGGCATTTTAAATCTTCTGTAAATGTCGTTCATACAGGCATTTGCAAAATGACTTGTGAACAATGTGTGCAAATCTTTTTGGTATGTGCCTCGGACGTAAGCACCTTCTGACCTTCTGAAACCGTATTCTGTCCAACAAATTGAACAGAAATGGAGCCAAGTAGTGGCTGCTTTTACTATTTACTTTCATGTTCTGGTGTTTTTAGAGCAACTCAAATGTTGTTAACTCTCTGAAATGGAAAGACAGTTGGCTGAAAATTGCCAGTAATAAAGTCTCTGTGATGGTGACAACACTGAGAAAACAGCCTCTAATTGAAGCTCAATTCAATAAAAAACTGTTTTTTGGACATTTCTCAAGTTCCGACAGGGTATGCTGGCCCAAATTTCTCTTTAGACATTATTATATTACATTTAGCTGACACTATTATCCAAAGCGACTTTTAATAAGTGCAATAAACCGTGAAGATAAAAACTGAGGACAGCAAAAAACCTGCACTATACTTCTTCAAAAAAGCCAAACCATTTAACTTCTGGTACATTAGTTTAAATTGAGCTAAAACCCTTCATGTTAACCCTAACCCTACACATTGTTTGTGTTAGGTTTAATGGCCAAGGTGCAGTGGAATCAGGTGGGAGTGCAGTGGAAACAGGTGGGAGTGCAGTGGAAACAGGTGGGAGTGCAGTGGAAACAGGTGGGATTCCAGATATGTAGTTTTTCTACTGACTTGATAACGGGGAGGCGTGTGGCGCAGTGGGTTAGTGCGTTAGTGTTGGGATCAGGGGGGCATAGGTTCAAACCCCACTGCAGTCAGCATGTCGTTGTGTCCCTGGGCAAGACACTTCACCCCAAATTGCTCCTGTGGGGATTGCCCACAGTATTGAGTGTGTAAGTCACTTTGGATAAAAGCGTCTAACATGTAATGTAATATCAACGGGAAGCTCGGCCCACCATTTTGCAGCAAAGTGTGTTTGTCTTGAAGGATACCTAAGACACGGGGTGTTTCTCAATCGCGAGTACGCTTGCTTGGTAGCACATGTCTGCCGAGCATCTTGCTTCAGAAGCGAGTCAAGAATACTTCCTGACATTCGGAAAACAAAGAGAGGAACACGCTAGCAAGTGTGCAGGTGTGCGTCATATGAGAGGCCGCGCCTTACATCTTCCGCCACAGATTTGGGGAAATTGGTCCGTGCGCAAAGCATTGTGGGGATTTTAAGACCGCGGAGTCTACTCATGTGCAGCCTCGATATTTCTCCAAACGGAGTACGCCGGGCTCGGTAGATTTCCAAGTATGCTGGAGATTGGAACAGTACTTCGGCGGCACTCGATGACGTAGTATGCTTGAAATAGTGGCTCTGAAGCAGCTTTACTCGCGATTGAGAAACACCCACGGTGAGGGAGTTGCAAGCCGTTTCTCCGATGGAGAGCTAAGTGAACATGGAATGTTTTGTGTGATAGGATGCCAGTGTTTGAGCACAGTCTGAGTTCAGTGTAAAGGCCCAGACACACCAGGCCGATATCGGCCGTCTTCGGTTGTCTGGCGATGAAGCGTGCCCTGTCGCCCAAAGTCAATTTGGTGTGTCCCGAACCCTCGGCCGTGACACGCCTTATTTGGCCTTTCACGGTCGACACACGAATCGGCCGTGTGTCGGACACAAGCTATCGGGCCAAGAAACCACTCTGATCAGCTGTTCAGCTAGCAAACGAGAAGCGAAACGGAAGTGAGGGACGTAAACAAACGATTTAAGGCACAGGACAGCAGCTAAACCCCAGCAGGTGATACTTAAAGACATCAAACATAGCCCTTAAATGTCCTCTCTTACCTCCCACACATAGCAGGGACATCTCTGATATCGGCGGGAGCGTCCCCGGCTGTCCTCTGCTGAGAGCTCCGTGATTTGTTTGGTCAAGTCCGGTTTTTCATCTCATCGGTTTATTTGTCAGTATAAAGTTGCAGGATTAGTCTCAAGTACCTCAACATTGTCCTTAAGTACAGTGTCTAAGTAAATGAGATACTGTCTACTGCTGTTCATTTACCTATTGTGAGTCGCCTCGGATAAAAGCATCACATGGAAATGTAAATTTAGCAAGAAGTGGCCATTATTACATTACATACATTACTACATTGCTGACTCAATAAACTACACACCCGCCAGAACACTGCGATCATCAGATGCAGGTCTATTAACTGGGATTTTATAGTATGTCTGCACTTTATGTGCTCATTTCATCATTCATGTATTTTTATATTCTAAAACATGTTTTCGATGGACGAGAGTGAGAATGGAACGCACACGCTATTTGTTTGTTTATATCAGTCTGTTCTTCTTCTCTGTCTTCCGGTTGTTGCCTATTTTGAATGACGAATACACACTACCGCCGCCTGCTGGTAAGGAGAGTTATTGCCACTCACGCATGCGCAGTTCGTACGTGCTCGGCTGAAGTCTTTGTGGTGTGTTCCAGTGCGACACACGGCCAAGACGCAGGAGAACTCGCCGATGCAACTGTCGGTGTCGGTGTCGGCGAGTTCTCTGGTGATGGCCTGGTGTGTCTGGGCCTTAAGGGAAATAAGACTGACTTTGAGGCTCTGTGTATCACAATTTTGACTTTGTTAACAGAGGACCTTCTGACTTCCATTCATCTTTCTATTTGGTTTCTCAGTGGGCCCGTAAGACTAATGAGAGATGGTAGTTTCATCTTCCACATCCTTCAGTCTTACACTTGGATACATCAGTGTAAATGCAGTATTGTGTTCCAAAGGTAACGTGTTTTAGTTGGAGCTCCTGAACAGCTCACCTGGTAGAGCAGCCAATGTAACGGGGCTTGATTCGTCATGTTTCCCCCTTTTATATCTGTCTCTATAATTAAGGCCCTGGCAAATAGCTTTTTCGGAGTGGGACTAACAACGTTCTTTTCCCGATTCTTTAGTTAAAGTGAGTGAAGTGCGCCGCTACGCTTGGATGACGATGGCGAGAAGTGCATGCATCTATGCTATATCTTCATTAAAAAAGAACTCGTGATTAATCATCGTCATGAATGAATCATATGTAATAATAATTATTATCCGTATTATTTTTATAATAGCCAACATCCCCTGGCTTCCCTGTGTTTCGCTCCCTGGGGGATCTTAGATGGATTTTAAGTGTTATGTTGATGTGTTTCCATCTCCAATAGGAGTTGGACTGCATGCATGCAGGTTTTCACGACAGTTAAGATTAAAGAGGTGTGTCTGTTGGCTTCTGTGCGAACTTCTGCACCCTTCAATCACACATACCACCCTTCTTTGAATAAACCCCTCAAGACATTCAGTTCATGTGTAGCTTCGCAAAAGCGTAGCTCTACTTTAGATGATCCAACAATGCAAATTCACAAAGAATTCATTGCAGCTGTGTTATTCAAAGAAGGGTGGTATGTGTAATTGAGTTATGCATTGCTTGCAACCATTTTCTCATGTCTGATTTCACAAAAGACATTGCACTATTAGAATGCAAACGCATCCATAACTTTTGCAGCTACAGTAAGTGTTTGTCTTTGTTATGTCTTATTGCAATTATCCATAGTGTAAATGATACACCAAAGAACCCAAGAACCCAGTAGGCCGAACTATGGCAGAAAAGACACATTTCAGATTTAATATGCAATTTTCACTGGATAATCTGGGAATAACCCCCTATAAAAGTGATTTAGTTACCACTCGGTGAAGAAGCTAATTTCACTGTAATAGGTCTAGCTCTTAGCGCTAATCTTTGTGTGTTTGTGTCAGTGTGTGTGTGTGGTTGCTGCAAGAGATGTGATAAACATTCCTATGTATTCCGTTCTGTTACTCCTCATGGATATACACTGTGTGTCCAGTTGTATGAAGCTTTTTCTAGAAACCTGATCAAGCACAGTCCCGGTTGCTAAATATCTGGGAGTGAAGGTATGAATGTAGAAAAGTCATTAAAGTAACCTTTGGTATGGAACTCATTTCCTGCCATAACTCCACAAACAAACTAAACACGTTTTACAAATGCCCTGTGATTCACCAACAAACACAGTGTGGTTGCAAATACAAAACAGCATTTACAAACTAATGCATTTTTTTTGGAAGGACTGATGTATCTTCAAATCAATGAATACAAACCACAGTTGGTGACCTCCCGTCCAGATCACAAGTGTATCAGACACAATTTCCACTTGCATGTCTCTCGAAACAAATGTGAATTGATTTGGTCATAGCACCACATTCAACACTACTCTCTGATCGGTTCCAAGAAATAAACCTTCATAGTGTGAAGCAGATGAAGCAGATCAAGATTCTTTGTTTTATAGCTAGATCTGCAATTGGTTCATTCTAAACTGCAGTAGCTGCATGCAGGCTGGACATGTGTGTGTCATTGCACGCATGGACGTCACACTCACAAACAGTCAGTGTTGTGTAATCTGATCCAGATCTCCAACTGTATCCTACTCTCCATCCATGTCTGGTTCATTGACAGAATTCTAGAGAGGCCTAGCTTTTTTTGGAAACATAAAAAACCACACGCACAGTTTAGTTTAGCTATCTTGTGTTGCTATTTTGACCTCCTGGTAGAGCTTTTAGTTTAATTAATGTGAGGATTCCACTCACAGTACAGAGACTTTCATTCTTACTCTTGTTTCCTGGTTGTAACTACTTTTTATTAGTGAACTTAAAGGTCTCTGTGTGATTTTATCATCCTTAATGCCCTTATATCAAATGTTAAAGGATTTAAAGATGTTGCATGTGTTGCCCTGCTCATTACTGTTTGAGAAACCTTTGATGAACTTCATTTTCGAGTCAATCCTGCATTATTTTAAAACTATTACTTCTCTAAGGGGTGTTAAAAAAACAGAGAATGATCAATCAACAATTACCAACAGACACAGTGAGGAAAACTTACAGTACAAGTAGTGGTACATTTAGTGGCCACATGGTCTAATGATATTCCCAAACTTCTCAAATTGACCAAATGCATCATGAGTGGATTGTGGGGTGTTGAGAAGCACAACAAATATGTTGGTTTTTAGGTCTATCCAATATGTTGTTCTTTACTGTTCTTGAAGAGTTTAATTGTTGGAGGAGGGCCCTTAAATAGGACATAATTATGTGCAGTCACTTTTGTGTTATTGCTACAAGTATATTTCTATTTCCAAGCGATTCTTACACATACTGTATACTGTAGTTTTCAGCTTAGTATAATCCAAATAGCCGAGGGATTGTTGGTCTCATAAAAAAATTAATATATATATATATATTCATATTTTTCTCCTACTGCCTGTGCTGCAGCACCTCTTTTCACCCTCTGTCTGAAACCAGAGCCCAGTCTGCTCTGATTGGTTAGCTGGCCAGCTCTGTGATTGGTCGGAAGAGATGTGTCGGGAATCTTTCGGGAATCATGTCAAATGTGTTGGAGCGCTAGCCAATAGCAGCACAGGTGTTAACAAGTGATGTCAACATGTTAAGGAAGAAAACAAACGAGTCCAATGGAGGCGTTTCAGGCAGAGGGGATGTGTGTTTTGATAAATGTTTTTGCATTTACTTTTCATTCTTAATATGATAGGTTATGATACAACTCAATTTTGAAACATGTATGTATACCAGACACTGAAATGCTGCTGAAGTGCTTGCTTGCGTACCATGCTGTGAATGGATCTGGCCCTTCCTACATCCAGGACATGGTTAAACTGTACACCCCAGCACGTGCACTCCGCTCTGCATCAGCCAAACGGCTCGCTGCACCAGCACTGCGAGGGGGACCCAAGTTCCCATCAGCAAAAACACGTGGGTTTGCTATCCTGGCTCCAAAATGGTGGAATGAGCTCCCCATTGAAATCAGGACAGCAGATAGCTTACACATCTTCCGGCGCAGACTGAAAACTCATCTCTTTCGACTCCACTTCGAGCGATAGAATTACTAACAAAGAATTACTAACAAAGCACTTATATACTAATAAAGGACTGGCTTATCTAAAGCCAGTTGAGTAGCACTTGAAATGTTTTGGCTCTATGAAACCTGATGTACTTATATGATTCTGTTTTCTTAAAGTTTGTATCTTCCTGGTCGAATGCACTTATTGTAAGTCGCTTTGGATAAAAGCGTCAGCTAAATGCAATGTAATGTAATGAAGTGTACCATCACAGTGAAGGAAAGCTGGAATTCCGCAAAGCATCAAAAAGACAAAACTGTCATCAAATTAATGAGTTAAGAGAACAGTTTTTGAATTTTTATCATTGTAAAAAATATTTTCTTTTTTTTAGATGGAAAAACCTGGTGGAGGCAGGACGTGTCGTCTCCCCAGCATCACCTGAAGAACTGGAAGGTGAGCATGTTCCCATCTGTCTATTCTACAATCAACTGGCCAGAGACAAAGTGGTCAGTCAGTTAAAAGAAAAATGACAACAAATACCAGTTTGGGGTTCAATTCAATAAACAAATGATACTTTTTCAAGTGAAATGCTTAATTATAATGCTGAGATTTCAATACATTCAACTCATGTTAGTCCTCATGTTGAAGTTTATAGCCTTTTGCTTGTTAGTGAAAGACTGTATGAGAATCAGAGAGAGAGAGGTAACCAATAGGATTGCTAGGATATGTGTTTCACTAACAGACAGTTTCCACTACACTGACCATCTGATCTGGGCCTTCAGTTCCTGCCTGACAATGCAGAGAAACTCATTTCATAAGTGATGTTAAATATTAAACTCACCTGCACAAAGGGAGGGTGTCACGTGTCAATTAAGTAATTAAAGAGGTGCAGGTGTTGGCTGCAGGTATCCAGACAGGGAACCCAGACGCAACAGGATCAGCTTTCGGTTTCCACAATATGTATTACGCTGTATATCACTAAATCAAATGCAAACACCAAAAAAGATGCATGACTGTCAGTATGGTCATTGGTAAGTCACCGCTTTTTTGCTCCACACTAAGAAATCTTTTCATAAATAAAAGGGGTTCATTCTGCTAATTTTCAGGTTCTTATTTGTATTTTGTGCCTCTACATGTCTTCATGCTTTAATGTTCAAAAAGCTCTTTATTTATCTCACACTGCCTGTGCTGCAGCACCTCTTTTCACCCTCTGTCTGAAACCAGAGCCCAGTCTGCTCTGATTGGTTAGCTGGGCGGCTCTGTTGTTATTGCTCAACCGATTAGAGATGATCACGTACAATGTGTTGGAGCGCTAGCCAATAGAAGCTTGAGTGTTACAAATTCATGTCAATATGTTATGGAAGTAAACAAAGGAGTCCAATGGAGGCGTTTAAGGCGGGGGGGGGGGGGAGAGAAACTCCCTCTGGCCTTTGCAGACCATTTACATGCACATAAACCTTTATAACACATTACAGGACAGGGAAAACCCTAACAATCATAGTAGGGCCCCTTTCAGCTGCAATATTTTCAGAGTTACTCGATGACTGCCAATATTTTGTTATGCTGTGAAAATGAAGATAAGACATTTGTGAGAAAGTTTTTTAGAGAGTTTTATTTAATTACCACAAGTCTTATGACTCATCTGTGGTAATTAATGTAATGATTAAGCATTTAGTCAATGGGAGCTTGGCTAGCTTTCTGCCCTCCCTCCATCTGTCTCGGGCTTGGGGAGAAACGGATTACATATAATGGGATGACAAAATCAGGATTAAGAAAAAGCTACCTGTATTTCTTACAGTGAATGTGAACAGAAATGTGGTAACAAACTGACCAGTAATGGTGTGTTCCTTGATGTTCTCAGATGATGCTGTGGGTGCTGGCATCATTGCTGACACTGGTGGAGGATGTGTTTTCTGAGGAGGACAATAAAGAGTCAGACCTCCAGCATGTCCTCAGGCTCCCCTCCGTGTCTCCTGCTAAGGACCTGGACCGGGGCAGCAGGGGCCACATATCCTGGCCTGGAGCCCTTGGCAAGTATTTCAATTGCTTTTATCATTGATAACCTTAATATTACTTCTCATTTGGAAGGGTTAGGGTCAGGGTTAGGGTCAGGGTTAGGGTCAGGGTCAGGGTTAGGGTTAGGGTTAGGAATTTATTAACAAAAAGCCGTTCTGAACAAGGTAAACCATAAATGAGTAGAGTAAAGACTTCTTGGTCATATCATTTGGGAACACTGTAAATATCAGGCCTACATTAAGAAGGGGACAGTGGAATGGTCTGATATATTTTCCTAAAATGTCTGTCCATTTTTTAGCTTTATCAACTACCCTTTTCCCAAATAGTTACAAATATTTGGCATTCTTTAGTATGTTGGACACTTTTTAAGACACTTCTATTGGTAACATAAAATGCTTCTTATGCTAATACATACAGTACAGTACGTCACATTGGCTGCCTGCAGGTATACACTGCTTGGCTTCTTTAACCTTTGGAGAGGCACTCTTCATTGCCATCTATTATATTAACATTGCTCAATTTTTTGTGCTACTAAAAACGCTGAAAACAAAACTTAATAAATCTAAGGTAGAGGTCATAAAATAGCAGTGTGTCACTCCTACAGTAGATGAGTAATGTAGCCTCTGGCCCTGGTCAACTGAGCAAGGGCCCCAACAGGGTAAAAATAATCAATCCAATGTGCAAGGTTTCTGTCCCGCATCATAGTCCTGTTTTTCACTGCTACCAGAGCATGTAATAAATAAAAAACTAGAACTAGAATAGTTCACTCAGAAGAGTGCAGATCTTCACCAGGTGTGACCTCTTCTGAATTTTTTTGATAGAATGAATTCAAACCACAGTTGGTGACCTCCTGTCTAGACACTAGACGTATATGACGTATTTTACACAATATATAATAAAACAGGGTTTGAAATTGTAGTACACTGTAGACGAACAAAAATACAATTGACCGAACACATGATCTGCCTTGGGGGAGATAAAAGTTTTAAAGGAGCCCTTCTGTGTTAATTTTCAAAACATCTCATCATCTATAAAAGGGGCCCTATTTTGCAAATGTTCAGGTTCATATTTGTATGTTGTGTCTCTACTGTGACATGTCTCCATGCTTTAATGTTCAAAAAGCTCTTTATTTTTCTCTTACTGCCTGTGCTGCAGCACCTCTTTTCACCCTCTGTCTGAAACCAGAGCCCAGTCTGCTCTGAGTGGTTAGCTGGCCGGCTCTGTTGTGATTGGTCAACCCCTTAGAGATGTCCTTTACTTTTATCGAGCTGTTTTAACTATTTGTAATTTCTTTATTCAATATGCATTTTTAATCTTTGTTATTATTAAAAAAATAGAATAATAGTCCATTAATTGCTGTCAAAGGGTTCAAATGGAAGACATAAGTATAAGTATACCAATACAAATGACGTCTATAATTATTTCAAAGGAATCACACTGCAGGGTACTTTACTTACTTTACTGATGAGGATCATATTTCTTTACTCCAGTATCTGAAGGGACATTCTCCCCCAAGACATTAAGAAGTGAAAGAATGAAAAAGAGGCACAAAGGGTTTCTGTACACTTCACTGCACATCTCAATCACTGACAGTGACTTTGTTTTTGTGATGATTTCTTGAAAAAATATGTTTAGTTTCTCCTTTTAAAACTATATTGAGGCAAGTTAGACTTAATTGCCTGAACATTGCCCAATTCAATTGTAACATGGAATACTTTTGTAATTACATCAAATAGTGCAACCGTGTGGCATGTTTAAACATGGCTGAATATGTACCACTTCTCCGGGGGAATATTCCTATGCATTTTTCTGTTCTTTCTTTTTTTTCTCGTGATACAAGTTTTCTTTTCGTAAACATCAAGGCATGAACTGACAAGCACCGATGCTGCTGTGAATGAGCGTTCAATAGAGGTAGAAACCTTTCCCTGTGACAATACTGCACAGACATTCAGAGAAAATGCAGTCTGGGAGTAAATACGTCAAACATGCGGGCCTGTCTGCCAAGTGGACTGAGGAAGTTTGATGAGTTTGTTTGAAAAGTTCCTGCAAACTGAGAAAGCTCCTGTTGGAGTTCAGCCAGCTCCCCTCCCATACTGGTAATGACCCCGCATAGTGACAGTAGTACATGTTGCAGCGGCCATGTCTGCTTTTAATTTAATCACACATGCTCGCCTCGGCTAGCTCATAAAACTAATCCAAAACATAAAGTTAAGTGTGAGAAGTTTTTCACCTTTCAGTCTCTAAAGGCCAGAGCAGACATCTGGAGACTTTGAGAGGAATGGAGCTTGAAGTTCCTTGCAAACATTTCCAAGAAATAATCACAAAGCTGCATGAAGCTGCTTTTACAGAGCTTTAAGAACTCCTGAGCCAAGAGAAAGGTTTACTCAGTTACTGTAGCTGACATCTTGTTTCTGAATCTACGTTCTCACCCTGTCTGTAATGATTGATTTAGAGGCAAGTGAATGTGAAAGACAATATTTATCATGACGTAGGAGTGTGAACAAATTATATTAGATTAAATCAATTAGTATAATGTTATTACTTTCATTTTTAAATAAGATTAACTTGAACATTGCGTTCAAATAAACTTATTTATTTTATGTATTAAACAACACAAACGTTTTAATTGCATTTCTTAGCAAATTAAATATATTTGAAACAAAATAATTGATACAAATATAAAATATTTAAAACATAATAAATATAAATTCAACAAAAAGTAACATATCAATTATAAAATTAATATATGTATATATATAAAAAAATCATCTGAGCGTGTTTTTTGTTTGTGCAAAAAGGTTCCACAGACTTGATGACATCAAAGTCCTCAAGCGCTGTGAACCAATCACAATGGTAGAGGGTGCAAGCTGTAATTTCTGCCTTTCCTGAAGTGATGATGCTCATTAGGTGCAACGTTAAACCAACTAGGAGCAGGACTCTAACTTACTGTATCTCACACTTAAGCTTTAAAAGGCTTTGACAATGACCATTACAACAAAACTTTGTCCCAAAGTTAGGAATAATACATCCTTTATTTTTAATTACTCAGCAAGCTTTCAACTTATTTTACAAACTTTAAAGCAAGCCCTGATTCCAAACGCTTTACTCAGTGTCTGTGATTCCTGGTTGTCGCTCTCATACAGAAATAAAAACTCAGCTTTCCATCATGTAGTTATATCAGAATACAATCAGGTGAGGGAGATTAACCAATCAGAGTACAGTTGACATGCCAGATATGTTTACATACACCAGGAATGTCTGAGCTGAGTAGAGGTCTCCTAGCACCTGGTACTAGGATGGGTTAAATGCAGAGGCCACATTTCACTGTGTGTGCTGTGTGCTCTGCATGTGTGACCATTAAAGAGGGTTTCATCCCTCCCAATTCTTCTTCAGATCCAATCACAACTTTTTAACAGATGGCTAAGTGAATTAAAGTGATACAAGATGTCTTTGTGAACTTTTGATACCTTGTGCTGGAGTAGCCCATAAAACAGGAAACAATTGCATTAATCAGAATAAAGGTATTCTGATTCTGATTCTGATAAACCATTGCCATAAACCAGGAAGCAAATTATTGCTGGGCAAGTTGTGGTGGTGCAGTGATGACGTTTTCTTTGTGGGGCGACGTGGAAGTTAGCATCGGCAGGGCTCTCTTGACAAAAAGCAATTGGTTTTTTCTTTTGGATCTTGGAATATTGCAGAAAATAAGATCTGTGTCCAACACACTTTTATTATAATTACATATTTTGGTCAGCAGGATAATATCCACAAATAAACACCACTACTGTATATACATTTTTGAAGCATAAAGGCGGCCAGAAGTAACAAGCCTATGTTAGGTTACAAACAAACTACATCATGGTCGCATGAACTCATATAACAACCACTATGCTAAATGTGGCTAATGCTCAGCGTTTAGCAGTTGCATATCGTTTTTGGTCAAACCAGCCAGACTCATAGAAGCTTTCCACTTCCAAAGGGGGATATTTACTAATGTATTTTAAGTTGTAGACAAAAATATCAATGATTCAGGTGTCCAACCAAAAACCGGTTCAAATTTTGACTATGAGAAGAGGGAACTGGAAGTTGTGAAATGCTAACTCACAGAAAATGTTTATGTTGAGAATCAAATAACTAAATATATATATGTCTTATCTGTGTATTATTTTATTGTAGAAGAGTGGTCACTAATGCAAGATGGGGAAATCCAGCAGAGCAGATGGCGGCGAGCCTACCGTGACCCAGATTTGCCCAGAACGTCAAGGAGAAACCGCAAGAAGACCAAGATCAGTCACGACTGCCATTTGGAGAGGAAGGAGATGCGGGTGCGGGATCTGGGTCTTGGCTACGACTCGGACGAAATAATCCTCTTTAAGTACTGTGTTGGGACATGCCACAGCTCCCGCAAGAACTATGATCTGGTCGTGAAGGCTTTGATGGAAAATGGGAGCATCTCTGGGAAGAAGGTTAGCAGTCACCCATGCTGTCGGCCGACCCGGTATGAGACTGTGTCCTTTATGGATGAACAGACTACCTGGCAGACCATCAGGTGGCTCTCAGCGGCCAACTGCAGCTGTTTTAGCTGATAGTAGGGAAAATCTATCACAAGCACAGAAAAGCTTTGTTAAGTTAAAGAGCAGCATGCTGTAAGCACTGGTGTCTGAAGTGGGTGACCAAACCCTGATCCAGCAGCGTGGGCATGGATTTGGATCCTCAAGGCAGCGGCCATGGTCTCCATGAATAGCACCAGCAGGCTAACTGGATTTGTGCCACAAGCCTGGGGCTGAGCAGGGTTTGTTTTAATTCCACTAGCAAGAAGAGCAGAGGAGGAAACTATCAGTACTGTTCCGGTCCATAATGGACTATATGTTGTTTCCTTGAAGGCTTATGGCAGCCATGTTGAAGGTCTTTAGCTCTTAGAAGCTAACCATATCTCTAAGTATGCAGCTTGGCTAACAAGAATTCACTACGGTCAACTGTCTGACTGGGCGCTTTACATTTCACCAGGAGTCTTTTTTCTGTTAGGCAGAAAATGCTTACCAGCTAGGAAGCGAAAACATTAGCTGGTCCTCATGTAGCCGCTAGTGTGATGCTAACTGCATACAGGCATTGGTGGCTGAAACATATTCCAGCAGTTATGAAGGGGAACATTTTTCCTAATGTGTTCACAAGATTCATTTTCAGCAAATTAAATAACACATTTCAAACTTTATTATTTAATTCATGTTGAATATGATACAACTTTAAGCATAAAACCTGAAACCAAATAGCTATTCACTTATCCAAATCCAAAAACTGTACAAATGTAGGAAAGGCAGCCTATTTAGATTACAGCTTTAATGTTAATGTTTAAGAAGAGATAAACGTAGTGCCTAAACACCATCCAAAAGCATCAGTTAAGCAACACCATTTTAATTCAATCAATCTATTATTAATTCAAGGCAAGAGTGATCTTTGTGCTTTCCTGTTTTAAAACATCACCTTTTATATTGTATGCATAATTCTATGGAGAAAACGTAATAATTTATAACTCATATTATTGTATTGAAGTAGTATTGGCACGCAGCACGTTTTGGCAAAACTATATCCCCTTCATTTCCCCTGCTGCTAAGGCCTAATGTTTTGCAATACAACAATCCAATGGCTGCCTAACCGTAAAATATAATTGGAACAAACAAGTTTTCTTTATATTGAATTTAATGAAATTAATATTGAAATACATTTTAAGATGAAGGTGTTTTATAGATTTATTCATCGGCTTCAAAGGTCTGCATGGTAAGACTTTTCATTCCTGACATGTTGTTATTGTGCTAGCTCACCAAGCGTAACACTCAATAATTTGTTCATGTCACAGTATCAATGCATCTAAAAATACATGTTTGCCTTACCAGACCAATATTTCAGTTTGAACACCACTGACTAATTCATCCTTATCCATTGGCTCTACTCTATACTTATCAATTGACTCTAAAGCATGGTTAAAATATTTATCTTTTTCTTACATGATTATTTTATAGACAAGGGTATTATCATTTATTTGCCAAAACCAGTTATCTACTGAACCTCCAAGATGGAGAGAATGATGATTTCTGGACATGTGTAAATCAACTGCGAAGCCCCTATTTAACAAAGACAATTTCATGAACAGTCTAAAATCTCAGTTAAACCAGTTTAAAGACCAACAACTTTGATGTGAAGACATGCTTATAAGTGTTTTTATGTGATTGTAGTTATTACATGTACAGCACTTTGGCCCGACCAAAAATCGCTTTTAAATGTGCTTTAAAAATAAACCTTGATTTGATTTGATTTGATATAAGTAAGAACCTTTTATAAGTATTTATGTTTTCTTTTGTAAATACAATGGTCTTCATAAGACCAACATTTCCTCTCACCATGTGATACCTTCCAGGGCAGCTAACACCATCTGGTCAAGGAAAAGTCATTATCATTCATTAAGAGTCGTTACAGCAACTATAGTAAAACTTCAAATGTCCTAAAAAAAATCTCTTACCCTCACAAACACAATTCAAGTTTCAAAATTCAAAAACATTTAGCTTTGTTTATTTTAGTGCATGACATTCATAAAGCATTACATGAACCCAACGGCTTTCTAAATCCAGCAGATCAGATCATAACATGCTGTTCTCTAGCCAACATATGCTAATTGTAAATGCCACAGCAGCTCAGGAGGACCTGTTAAAAGCACAGCTTGTTTACATCTCTGTCAACAGTCTATTGTAGGATGCCAACACAAATATAGTCATGAGGCAGCCATCAATCGCAGTGACAGCTTTTCACCACGCGGTCTATTTTCAGATCAGGTGCGACATGATCCCAGTCACAACCATCAGACCTGTACATCAAACAAAATAAGTCCTAGAAATCAGTTTGAATGTGATTTCTAATGCTGGCATATCACAGATTATCACAAATGATATGCAACATGGTCACATCTCATACAGTTTCTACATATTATTTCAGAAAGTTGTGTCCAGAGAAGCTAATTAGACTGTGGCATTTATCATCACTAACATTATTTCACACAAAGCTCAGCATTATAAGCATTTTTCCAGTATTTCTACGTCTGAAAAAAACCATTTTGAGCTCTAAATATTGGGATGTTTACAATTTAGCATCACAAATCTTATGTTATAATATGTTATATGTACATGCAGGTGCTCTAAAACAGTATTCATACACATTGATTTTTTGTTCAGCTCTATCGAAAATAGTTTAACAATATCCAAGTGAAGCATTAAATGATAGGCAGTATGTATCTCTGCAGTGTGTTTCCACAGATAACATTGGAATAACAAAGCACCTCCGCATGTTTTATTACTATAGTTGGTTTTGCCCCACACTACTCAGCTCACTGTAATCCTTCCAATTTTGCTGTGTTTTGTTATTGAAGATAATCTGCAGAATGCTTACAGCTAAGCTTGCACGCAATCTCACATTTGCTTCCAATTACACCAACTTATGTTTAATGTTTTTTTATGACAGTAAATAAAGGTTGTACAGTTTGGAAGCAAAACAGACAAATATCCAAACACAATCCTTTTGGACCAGCTCATTGTAATGTATCAGCCTATAGTCATACTTTAAAAAGACTGTGTAGAAGATAACAAAACAGCTTCTACTTACTAAAGGGTCAATGGTTACACATTTTACAGAGCTAGACAAATGTTTTTCTCTTTGCTTCGTGCTAAGATTAGATGAACATGAACAATGGGTGCTTCTCATTTATCTCAAATGTCGACACATTTTTCTTACTCGTATTTTATTTATCACATCTTAGTTTCTTCCATTTAAGACATAAGAAAGGGATGCAGGAAAATATGTGAGTGCAGACAAATGGGGACAACATGTGTTAGTATTTTCTATTATACCCTCTTTTTCTACCTCCTACTGTACATCACTACTGTCTCTGCATGTTTCCACATACATCGAAAACAGTTGAAAAAGCATATGCACATTAATTAAAAACAGGTATTCTGCATTGATTTTGTGAACAATTCAGATTTTCTATCTCATACCAAAATACATGTTATGCCTGACGCAGGGATCTCAGCCTCATAGAAAACCATATTTAATCAAATAGTGAGATACATAAGACTCCTTCTCTTCATGACTTTGTACAGGCTTTAATAGGAAAATAATGAAATAAAAAATCTGACGATGGTTATAATAGTTTTTTTTATGCTTCCTTATTAAGCGTATAGTTACGATCACAACATTTAATGGCAAATCTGATTTACTGAGATCGGAAGTGAGATAACATCTGTGTTGAATCTGTTATTTGCCCCAGTTAACTACAGTAATGGGCAGCCTCATTGCTCTTCCAAACAAAAATAATAGAAAAATATCAATTTCAGCTCAAACGTGGACAGAGGAGTGAGGAGACATGAAATAAGGCAAAAGAGAAGCACCCTTAAGAGATTAGACTATGAGCACATTTCTGACAATGACGGACTGTCCCTTTAAAAGCTAAAGTGTCCCTGACCCAGACAAAGGAGCTGTTTCAAATAGATTCCCTCATTATGCATACTGTACCAATGGAGTGTACTCAAATAGCCCTGGAAATAAAACCGTTTATATTGACTGTGCTTTGCACACAGTGTCTGAATGTCTGATGCAGATATCAGGAGCAACATCATTTCTGAGGCCTTCAGTCACTGTTTATGTCAAACTGCTCTGTAACTACATGTCTGTTAGATGCTATGCATCATGTTGCCTTGATGTACATAAGAGTATTTATTGTTTAAATTATTTTTATTTATTCGTTACTTGCATTAAAGCTGTTCTGATGATGTTTATTATTCATGAAGTAGCCATGTGTATTTGTGTTTTCAATTTAGCATTATTTCAGGAAGAGAATAACACTAGCACAACACACGAGTCCCAAGGTCCATTCAAAGACTGAGGAAGACAGGAGTGTGCCACTAGTATCATCTTTTGACATATACCTTGTAAAATTACAATAATGAACTAAATGTAAATAGTTTACTCTCCATCACGCACCTGGCTAATCAGAGCCCTTGTTGCAGTGTGGATTGTGTAATATTAAGCACCACGTCACCACATCTTTCAATAAAAGAGGACCTTATTTTAACCGGGAAAAAAATTACAAATGTTAAAGCAGGTAAAAGATGAACTGTTAGACAAACTATGATAAGCACAAGAAAATAGAATGACTTAACAAAAAACATAAATCCTTGTTTCTATTCTATTGTTGTTTAAATTAAGGAAAACTAATTACTAATTTATCAATTTTTAATTGAGTCCACTTTTCAGGAGCTAAGGAAAGCAACCCTGTTTTTTGACAAAGCATTTATTAAATAATTTCTAAACTGTTGATTTATCTTAGGAGTTCCCAAACCAAAAAGAAACCCTTAGTACTTCAGTTTGTTTGGAATATTACAAATGACTACATTTGAAGATGCATTTCACTGGACAGTGACCGAATGAACTGAATACATCTAAAGATATAAACTAGATCATTTATATCAATTTAATTAGGTCAATTACCATCACATTTTGCAAAAGTCTAAAATGATATTTGTTGGCACACTCAATACCTGTGATATAAAGAGAACTATCCAATTTACTGAAGTCATTCATTATCCTCCATTACAACAACCTAAAATGACATGACACTACATCCATAATAGAAATGTAGGCCTAAAACATGCTAATGCTGCCTTATAATCCCCAATGAGGAAGGCTTCAAATGAAGTGTTACAGAGAAAGGGTTCAGCAACATGGAACAACAGGTGTGGACTTGTTTCTCTCAAGAACCAGGGCTACACTTCTTTGACACCACTCTCTTGCATTATGTCCTTACACACTAATAACAATTATCCTTTGGGAAAATGTCTGGTCCTCACCCAACAGATTGCAGTTAAAAATAAATGTGATAAATATAAGAAATGGGAATAGTCTTCATATATGTTGTGTTAATGTATTATCTTGAATATATTCTGAATTTTTGACAATGTATTATAAAATGCCTTCTGAACACTATTTTTGTACATTATAAATAATAAAACATTCTAACAACTATTTCATCT